AGTGTACTCAAAAACCCCAACAACAATCAGCAAAGTGGGATAGCAAGGAAAACACTTTGAGATACGAAACAACAAAGCCATTTTATAAACTTTTCGTTAACCTCAGGAAGATTCATAAATACAAGCCTTATCACAAAGCTACTTCCTAGCATACCACATATACAAAAAGGGATTGAGTGATCGGGTTAACCTAACTCCTCTAACCAAAAAGGGGGTAGTAAAAAAGGTGAGGCATTCCAAAACCCATCACCAAAGCTAGCCGTATCCGGGAGGAGGCTCCAGGTCGGACTCCATGTCATCTGGATCGATCTCCGGATCAAAAATGGCTCCATCCGGAGGGTCGAAGTTCATCGAATCCCAAACTTCTTCTCCAACCCCACTGTCGGTGGGGGAGGGGAGGGGAGGGGTCCGTCAAAACCTCTAATCGACCAAACAGCTCATCTCCTTTTCTTATGAACCACACCAGAAATTCGTGCGGTTTTCACATTGCTAATCCCTCATCAACCCAGACAGTTGTCAAATGCTTATGATAAGCTTTATCCGGTCTCACCGGATACTCTACCACAATCATGCCCATATCCATCAGCACCCCAAACCGTGTAGGAGGTCAATTCATAACCGGGGGTGTAAAAACTGTTAACAAATAACAATGAGAATAACTCAGTAAGTAAACTCCCTAAACCTCGTTTAGGAAAATACGTTGCCTCTGGATCTCCCTAAACATGCAATTCTAGCATCGATGGCAATTCAATAGCAACCGGTCCTCGCTTCGCATTAACTACGCACAAGTTCAAGCAAATCAAACCCGGATGAACAACAAGCCGTCTAGCAACCACAGGCATCATTACCTTACCTTGGTACACACACCCTATACAATATAACTCAGTACATGCCACAGCAATACAATCATGCGTGTTCCAATTATTACAACCTCACAAGCCACGACACAACCCGTGTAAAACGCATCAGGTTGGCAGTCTTCCGGCATGACCAGGTATCGTCCTACCCCATCGGGCATGGCAACATCCCACATTAAACGCATCAGGATGGCATTCCATAAGGAGCATCGGTCCAGGCTCTACCGCGACTCGGCATCCGGACACTCTCTGGGCATCCGATAAATCGGGCATTGTCCCGCGTAAAATGCTTCAGGACGGGCTCAATCCCCGCGTAGAACGCATCAAGGTATTATGTGATCACATGAGCACAACCACCACATAATTCATTATCATCTCCGCAGTTAGTCAAATGCAAACGTGATTCGTGCTCACACAACAAAGTATTGCAACTTTCACGCGTAAAAATGCAGTAATAAATTCATATGTGATCACATACACATAATGAACCCATCAAACTTTGCAAGCTTCCATCTTCCAACACCTTTGCCTCATTCAACTCACGAAAATGGACATTTAAACCCGGCATCTCGAGGTTTTCACTTATATGTCCATAAAACCCTTGTAAAAAATTTGCAAATAAGGTTTATAAAATGAGCAACCAATTTCCATAGTATAACAAGCTCCAAAGCACATAAAGCATGCATAGCTCATCCTTACACACATGAAGAATTAAACCTTATCATATGATAACCTATCACCATATAAGACAAGTGTGCATGATAAGTTATCACTCAATTTAAGATAAGCTATCAACCAACTCATGATAAGCTACCAACTAATCCACCTATAATCACCCTAATCAGCCCCTAAACCAAGTCCATTAACAACCTATTATACTAACCAAGGTTTAGAGAGTAACTTACACTTAAACCAAAGAAAAACTAATCAACGGCGGCGGCGAACAGCCACGGTGGTGAACGGCCGTGGTGGCGAAGCGATGGACGGCGGTCATGGCGATGGACGGCAGTGACGGTGGCTAGTGGCAACGATGATGGTGGCTGGTGGTGGTCGACCGAACAAGGGAATGAGAGAGTGCAAAGGAGAGAGTGAAAGAAAGACCAAAGTGAGGAAGAGAGAGAAAAGTTTCTACCAAGACACACCCAAAGATGGATGGTTAAGATCACTTCTTGCCCAACAAACCAAGATCAATTACTAGGATTGAATATTGTAAAACAAGCTTCACAAATATCCAAAGGTAAAAGTAGAATAAAGATAAGATGAGAGGGGCAATTTGGTAAATTTAGTCCTTGACACTATTCACGGCACTATTCACACAGGCTTGGGCTTGGGCCAACAAACTTGGGCTTGGGCTTGAACGGGCCCAATCGAAAGAGAAATGGGCTTGAAAGGCTTAATAGGCTTACAAATGGGCGAAGCCCATTTTCTTTGTCTTCATGGCCTAATTTCCTTGTGGCTTCTCAATTCCAATCCGAATTTCACTTTTTCAAGAATTTCAAGCAAACCGATAAACATATGGTTTAATGAGGCGACGTCCAATAGATTAATCTAGAAATTCTTGAAAGTTCGATACCCAAATTCGAATTCTAATTCATAGTTAAAATCGATCAATTGTGACTTTAGTATATCTCAAACTAACGGACGGCCTTTAGGAGTTCAATATCAACCCACGTTTAAGTTTTCTCGAGTCATGGGTGATCTCGGTTGTCATATAATTGCGAGAATCAATCGCTAGTTCCGAAGTACATGATTATTAAAAATTAGTTTAGGGTCGTTCGCAATCCATACAATAGTCAGGCAAAATCACCCGCAATCCGATTGTATACTATTGGCGAATCATTCTATAAACATTCCTTGATCGATCTATAATGGTTCAAAATTGTCCCTCGTCAATCCTTATGGTCGAATTATCAATCCATGGTCGAGTTCTCAGGTCATGCGTACTTAATTCCTCAATAGCCTTTCCCTATTGGTTAGTCCTATCATGAGTGATCAATTCAAAGTGAAATTTAACTAACAGTACATCGATGAAATAATCATTTCATATATCTAAAAAAGGGTCGAATTTCAGGATGTCACACCGTTCATGGAGCCATAGCACAATTAATTGTTTTGTTTTCAAGAAAATAATTGAAGAAGTAATTTGGCAGGGAAAAATCAAATTTGTCGATGATAATGGGGCATGACTCTTGATTATCTAACTTAAAAAGAATCAAATAATCGATAAATCATTCAATTCTTTTAAAATGGGGCATATGTTCATAAAAAAAAAAGGTTAATAACTTGAAAAACCCCTAACCGATACATTTATAACAAATTTACCCGAAACTAATTTTTTGACCACCAAAAATCTCAAATTGGTACACATGTAACAAATTTATCTCAAACTAAATTTTCGATCACCAAAAACTCCAAACTGGTACATTTGTGATAAATTTACCCTCCGTTAAATTGGATTAATATCACGAAAAATCACAAACTTGTACACTTGTGACAAACGGAGGATAAAACCCCAAACGGGTACACCCGTCAACTGCCACTTGTCATTGAACTAAAAAATTTAATGGTAAAATTTAACGAAAACTAACAAAGAGTAAAATTATCATAGGTGTACCCATTTAGAGATTTTTTTGGTAAAAAAATTAGTTTATGGTAAATTTGTTACATGTGTACCAATTTGGTATTTTTCGTGGTATTAACTCTAAAAAAATGACTAACTTTTAGTTATTATTGACAAGTAACAAACTAAGTCGACACAGACAGTTTAGTCAGAACAATGACAATTGGAAGAATCGAGTGATTGAAAAAAAAAAGTTATGGCACTCAAGTGAGCGTCCTACGAAAATTATGGCACTCAAGTGATAAAAAAAAGTTATGACACTCAAGTAAGCCTCTTATGAAAATTATGACACTTATAACGTCCTTTTCTTTACGGAAGATTTGCTATAGATTTACATTCTGTTTTTCTAATATTTAGTGTATCTCTTATTATTAGTTAGGATTTACTTTTGCTTTTAGTTAGCAAAATATTTAGTATATCTTTTATAATTAGTTAGAGATATTTGGTAGATCTTTACTTTCTCTTTCCTGTTAAGCAATATGTTGTATAAATATTTGTATTGTACGTTGAGCGATACAAGCAAATTACGAGTTTTCACACATCTGAATTCAAACATATGCTCTTATTTTAGAAAGGTTTGGCCAAAATAGATAAAGCAAAAAAAGAAGTTTTGCTTGATTAATGCAAACGGATCACTGAATGCGCGGCCCATCACATGCAATCACAATGCCAAGATTGATGGAAGATACCAACAGTGGCCGTCCGACCGTCCGCCCGTCCCATATTTTCACAGATGGGGATAGAGAAGATGGATATGGCGTGATGCGTTGGGTCTGCTCAGGCCAACCACTTCGAGTAATCCCTCAAAAAGCTGGACGTCGTTTCTGTAACAGCTGTATATGCATGTCGTTTTGGGGGAATTTCTGTTGTCTCTGAGCCCGTGGCTTTTTGCGCTTTTTGGGGTTTGTTGTCGTTTCAATACCTCAAATCTGTTGTTGCCATCTCTTCTTCTATTCTCCCTGTAACATTACTATTGGTTCCCCTTCTTTTCCCAGCAAAACAAAAAGGGGACAAAAAACACCGCTGGTCCTCTTTCTTCTGTCGTTTAGATTGGGATCTACAGTGCTTCTTCCCCCAAGATTTGAAACTAATCTCACTTTGCTCCCTTATGTTTTGTTTTCCCCGATTGAATGCCAAGACTGATGTGAATGGATTTGTACTAATGCATCCCAATTTTGACCACTGTTCAGAAGGCGAAACGTGTTTTTCTTTGTTCCGAATTAATACACAAAGTTTGCCGGATCCAACGAATAAAACTCAACGTGTGAGCGGATCATTAACATGCGATCTTCTGGCCACTCGCCAACAAATCCCATTACTTGTCATCGACAGCAACTATTTGGGGTAAATTCCAGTGCTTTTATTTCGTAAAGATGGGGATGGAATAGAACCAAATTATAAGAAACCTTGAGATGCCTCAAATTTCACGGGCATGTTTACTGGCATTATTGGGAACATCTTTAGTTGCAAGTGACAATGGGCTCAGAAAAAGATGCCGAGACACAGGGCTTCCATATGGAGGGGGGTCCTTTTCCGAGTCCCTTTTCTAGCGTCCTGCTATTCTCATTTGTCCTTCCACGTTATATCAATTCAGAAAGAAAGGAGGAGGAGATTTTATATTATTTGTGTCAATCAATCCCTGACCATTTCTTGTAGCAAAGTCCTTTCTTTTCAACTCCATATTTTCTTTTTCTTATTTTTCTTTTTTGTCTCAATTTGTCTCCCGGAGTTTGAATTTGTACACTCCTCTGTTTCCTCCGTTCCTTCCTTCTTATCTATTCCTTTTCCGTTCTTGTAGCTGGTTATAGCTAATTTCTTCTTCCTCAGTCGCCCCCATTTGATATTGTCTAACTCTCTCTCTCTCACTCTCTCTCTCTAAAATGGGTTCTGGCATTTATGGCATTCCTAGCCAAAGAGTTCTTTCTTTTACCATTTTCATTCTAATCACCTACTTGATGGGCTCTTCTCTCTGGGAATTCAGAACTGAAGGTAATGGTTAAACCTTAAACTGAAGTTGAAAATCCAATAGTTTTTCACTGTTGTGCTCCACTTTTTTACTACACTTGGTTCGACTTTGAAGAAGAAAAATCTCTCACTCTGTCTCTCTCCATCTCTTTTGTGCTTTTCTTTCGTTTCTTTTCCAGGTAAAGCCATTCTTAAGCACACTGACTCTTCCAAGGTAAGCAAATCCAAGTGAAATCTCTCTCTCTCTCTCTCTGTGAGTGTTTTCTGTGTGTTTGCATGTGTGTGGACAATAACATTTGTGGTGTTGTGTTTTGAGGTACAGGCAATGAGTGAATCAAAGGCAAGTGTGAGGAGAATTCAGATAGGCTCGGCACCACCAAGATGTGAGAGGAAGTGCAGCTCATGTGGGCACTGCGAGGCCATCCAAGTGCCTGCAAATCCTCAGGACGAGAGTGGCAACACCTCCACAGTCTTCACGGTGGACTACTACTCAAGAGGTGATGAGAGCTCCAACTACAAGCCCATGAGTTGGAAGTGCAAGTGTGGCAAGTTCATTTTCAATCCTTGACCATCATATTTAATAGGGTGCTCTTAACATTTTCTTTTGACTTTTTGTTAATTTCCTCTTCTTCTACTTCTTTTATTGTGGGGGTAAAACCCATTTTTGAGATTGTTGTACATGAATTATGTATGAAACTGATTAGTGATTGCTTCCCCAGCGTAGATTAGTCTCTGAGATTTAATGATTGATGAACATCTCTAGTCAATTTTGGTTGTTTTTATGAATTGCTTACCATAAGATTTCTTTCAACTTGATCCAGGGAGCAGCTACGTAAAATTTATCCATTTTTGCTGACTTACTAGCTTCTTCATTTCAAAAGGAAAACCATGTTCTAATTTGTTAACAGAATTAAAAAGAGAAAGGAAGGAAAATAAAATTTTCTAGTTCTCTTTAAAGGCTGCCAAAGAGACAAGGCGAAACCATGGTAGAATCCATGTTTTTCTCAGCATAAAGAGATCCAGCTGTTGTGTCACGAACCATAATATTCAGCTTTGAGAAACTTTGAAATAACTTCAAAAGACGTAAAATCAATCTTAATTTACTTAATTAGGTTCCTGCAATTTTAGTTGGAGGAAACTTGCTCCAATTAAGCATCCTATCGATGGTTTATAACGATGGACATCATTCGCATTTATTTCTTGTTAAGTTCACATGTGGGTTATATCGACATTTGTAGACACCAAGTAGAAGTTTAGTTAAAGGAAATTTCGTTCAAAACATGGAAATAAGGAAAAATAAAACCCAACCAAATAATGTAAGAACTTTTCTTTAGCTAATGAACCCAGAATTTCTAAAGATGAAGTTGACCTTACTTTCACAATCACACTTAGAAATTAGGTTAGGTTATTTTCACGAGTTTTTTTTGGGCTAATACATACCCTTTTTAGGTTGATTGACCAAATCAGCTTTCAATTTTGTATTGATATCTAGTAACACATTTTTAGGCACTAGTTATCCATGAGTGACTACTTTCTTATCTCGGTTCACTTAAAAATTTTCTTTCTCAAGAGATTAGTTTACTTCTTCCTTTGAAAAGGTAAAAAAAAAAATCCATAGAATGTGCACCTAGCTAGATTTTTTACTTTTTTGTAAATTTTAAACCATAAAGATTAACAAGATATGATAAAGAAGGGAAAAAATCGAGACTACAATTATTGTTCTAAGATGAATAAAGTCATTAGTATTGTTCACAATCCCACAATTCCAAATGATAACATATAAGAAGGATTTTTTTCTATGAAGAGATATGAGTTCGAATATAAAGAAAAGTTGTAACTAGATTTGGCCCTCATCAAAATCACATAAAGCCTAACAAAAACACAAATGAATGATATCTTAACAACTCAAACCATCAACATTATATATAGGGATGATCGGTTCCAGAAGGGCGAGCACTAAGGGCCGGTTCCACATAATGGGAACCAGGAACCGCCTACTAGTTCTATGGACTCACTTGGGAACCAGACCAGAAACCGGACCACCAATCCGATATGGTTCCTAGGTGGGTCCATGAAACCGATATACTTGGAATGCAAAACTTCTTCTCTCGTATAGCTATACAATCACTTGCATAGATAATAACCACAGTTCAAAAGAATACTCAGGCCATCTATTTTCTCAACTCTCCAAACAAATTTCAAAATCCCAAGAGAAAAGAGAACGCTACCTACCTACTATAGCAAAACTAGAAAATCAAAACCGACTTCAAGAGTCATTTCAATTTCTAGGACTCCAAGAGTAATTTTCTTTTGTTAAGCAAAATCCCTCCATAAATTGAGGTGTAATCCCAATTGTACGTGTCAACACATAAATTTTGACAATCCATTTAAACATTTATTGCATTGAAAATTAGGGTCCGACCCCGACCCCGACCCCTAAACAAAAATATTCTATTAATTTGCATGTAGTTATTAGGAGCATTTTGCATTTTATAGCATATAGTTAAACTCATAAAATTGCATTGGACTAGCGGTAAATGGTTTCGAACTTAATTGGATCATTTAGACTGAGCCCAAGGAAAAGACAAAATTTGGCCAGGCTATGGGAGTTAAATGGCCGAAAGTTCATGAATAAAAGGGGGGGTTACGAGCTTTAATTAGATTGGGTTTAACCCATAAAGATTAGAATTAACAAAAGGCTTTAAGTCTAATTTTAATAAGTCCATAAAGATTAAGCCTTTTGTTATTAAAAAGCCCAATAGACCTAGGTTAATACTATATAAACACATTAGGTCTTAGACATTGAGAGGTTGGCAAATTTGAGAATTGAGAGCACACATGAGAAAAAATACAAGAGAGAGGAAGGGCAAGAAAAGACAAAAAGAAATTCCCGGACCCAATTAGGAAATAAGATCTCCAAATTAGGTAATTATCCGATCTAATTTTGAATTCACTATTTTATTGCTTAATTTGGACTAACGTGATCTTTTGAGAAAATTGAGGCATTATCCCATTAGGAGATTTCGTTTGCAAAAAAATCATTATAATCATTAATTTGAGTCCCCGGATCATTTTTTTATTATTATTAATTTGATTTTATCTTGAATCCTAGTGGGTGCCAAGATCACGATAATCGTTAATTTAAGCTGCGAGACGTCGGATTATTTTTCGATTATCTTGATCTTTTGTTTTGTATTGCGATCAATACGTTGATGTGTGTTCGATATATTTCATGTTTCACTTTGATAAAATTTCGTATCTTAGAAAAATACAAAAAGATTACGCCTCATGTTAAATTAGGATAGTTTTTCTAGATAAAATTGCATGTTAGATATTATCTAATAGTTTAAGATAAGTTTCCAAGTTAAAAAAGATTTATTCCAATTTATTTCCTAGTTTGAATTGGATGATATCTCACTTTAGATAGTTTCTTTTAATTAATAATTAATTTCAAATTTTAATATTAAAAATCCTAAAAAAGCATGTGCATGTCATGTAGGAAAGGTTGCCATGTCAATAATGCCATGACATCGTGCCACTTCATCATGCTTGCCGCGTCATTGTGCCATGTCATCACATATGCCACGTCATTGTCATGTCATCATTCATGCCATGTCATCAATTTCTTGTCATCTATGCCATGTCATTCAGTAATTGCATGTTTAAGATAGATCATTTTAATTGTCATTAGAATTAGGACATGTAGTCATAATATAGAATTTGCATCGCATGCTTTGCAAATAGCTTAGTCTTCATAAATAAAAGAAAAACCGAACGAAAGAGAATTAATTAAATTTGTCAATTAGTTCGTAGAAATCATGTTTGGCTAGGCATAGCATGTTCAGGTAAATAAGTTTCAGATATTCGGGAAATTAATTGATATGCTTTGCTTGCAATGAGGTCCCTATTCTAGCATTTTATTTATTGCTTTTGATTATTGAGTGTTATTTTAATTAATTACACACCCGCATGATTATCCCTTTGCATGTTAATGGATATGTTTAATATTAATCTAACTTGCTTGCAAGATTCTGACCAAAAAAATAGTTGCTTGCAAAATATTTTTTGGAAATAAAAGACAAAATGTACCGAAACGCTTGAGTTTAATATAACATAATCAAGTCTCAATATCCATAATCTCTTATTTGTGGAAGTAAAGCGTGCTCCGACACTTTACTTGGGTTTCTAATCAACCCACCAATAACTGATTAGTGGCGACTCAAAAGTAAAATTATATTGCATGTTGAAATTGAACATAAGTTGCGAATTGATATGGACTTGGGAGAGCCATAATAAGATGTAAGCTTAGTAATCTATTAGTCAAACCATAGGTGATTCACCCGAGGGTAGGTCACGACAATACGCATACAAGACTTGAATTTGATTAATATAAGAGATTTTCCTCAAGTGAGCGAATTTCTATCCTGGTTCTTTATCCAGTTCTTTGAGGGTAAACTAAGAAATCTTTTATTATTGACCGGTGGATTTCTTTTAGGCCTTGGTAGTGAACTACTCCTACACCGAAGTCTTTTATTCTTACCTGGTGCTATTTCTGTAGGCGTTGAGATGAACTTCATCTATCCTAATATTTATCACTGACGCGCGGTGCGTCCCTTTGCCTTAATGATGATCATTACCATAAAAAATCCTATTATCACTTAAAATACCTTCCCAATCACGCTCACGCATCATCTTTGGTATCAAAGCCACTCCTTGAAAGCCCACCTTTTGACACTTAAACCTTGGGGCTGGGTCCCTTGGTGGTAACTCGAGGCTACATCCTCAAGATTGCTCGGGACTGTTCTGCGAGGTCGCGGAATCCTAAAGAGGGGGAAGATGATGCGGGCAAAATCTCACATCGGGCAACTAAAAAGATATTTTGAGGCTTATAGTGGGTTGAGTTTCCTCTCCGGACAAGCTAGCTTTTCGAGAAGAGTTCTTTCATCCTTTGTAATGCATCTCTTATAATGTATAATGATGAAAAAGGAACATACGAGTGTTCGCAGACAAGAAAGAAAAGGAGGAGAAGAAATGAAAGGAATATGTCAACTCAAGCATTTGGCCTGTACAAATACTCTCGCTCTCTCATAGCTTGGTGTGTGATTGTCTCCTTCGTCATCGGATTGCCTGAGGGTTTTCATTGGAAGTGGCGGCGACCGTTGCCGGCCCTCAATAAAAATAAAGAATAATAATAAAAATAAAGAAAACAAAAAACAAAAAAAAAAAAATAAAAATTTATTTAAATACTATTTAAATTGTCCACATCAATGACGATCATGACATTTAGGACGATTGGCGTCTGCGTCAACAATTTCCGGCCTAAATTGGTTAGATGGACTGAATTAGTACCAATGTGAAAAATTTTAGAACTAAATTGGTCCAACTAGAAGGTTTATGACTCAATTGTTACCGATCCAATATTTTTATGACTTTTTTTTGTACTATTCCCCTTCGCCCTAGGTATGGGTTGTGTCTAGCGCATCGGCTTCCTCTCAACAAAAACTGATGCCAGAAGCACCTAAGGGTGCGTTTGGCAACCATTCTGCTCTCGGAAACTGATTCTACTCAGAAATTCTTTTTGATTCCGTACCCGAGAACAATTTCTAAGCATTTAAAGGCATTTGGTAACTGCCCAAAATTTATATTCTTAAAATAGAAAAAGAATATAAATGTGTTTGGTAACTGCACAAAATTTCTTTTTATTAATAATATTTTAAATTTTTTAATATTTATTTCTCTTTTTTTTTTCCCCCTTCCCTTTCCTTGGACATGGCCAGGTCGCAAGCGCTGGTGACCGACCACAGGCTAGGCCGGCGAGGGTGGGGGTTGGACCTCACCGCCGCCGCTCGCCATCACCGCCGCCCTCGCCGCATCCAACGAGGGCCGCCCTCGGTGGATCTAGTGAAGGAGGCTACGAGGGTCACCCTCGCCAGATTCGGCGAGGGCAGCTAGCGATCTGGGCAAGGGCCGCCCTCGGCAGCCTGGGCGAGGGTGGCAACGAGGGTCGCCCTCGCCAGATCCGACGAGGGCGGCGGTGAGGGCCACCCACGCCAGATCAGGCGAGGGCCGCGACGCTCTCTCCGGCCCTGGCCTATGACCGGCGACCGGCCTGTAGAAGAAGAAAAAAACCAAGAGGAGGAAAAAGGAAAAAAAAAATTTCCATTTCTGATTCTTGTTCCCAGAATTAAGAAGCAACTTTTTTTTGCTTCTTGATTCTGTTCTAAAACCGATTTTAGGAACAAATTTTTGCAAATTTGTGCTCGGGAACAAAAAATTTATCAAATGAATTTCTGTTCCAAAACTGACTCTGAAAATAAAAAAGTAGAAATAATTATTATTTGGCCGGTTGCCAAACGCGCTTTAAAAAAGCGGTACAGGAAACCATGCACCAGAATACAAAGTCCGTGTGGTGTGGCCCTTTTGACGTGACAACACACAGAAATCCAGCCTTATAGAACAAATCATATTGTTCGTTTGTTCATCTGTTCATGTAATGTGGACTAGCCATAATTTTTTATTCTGGTTGACAGTGACAAGATTCAAGCCCAAGTTTTGCTTCCATATCAGATCAGCATACTTTGGATGATCAACAAAAGGATTTATTTTATGCTGATAAAATTCGTATATCAGGTCATTCTCAGCTTCTCTTCCCTTCAAGGTGGATCGAGTTTATTCCATCTCAGCAGTGTACAAAGCAGTCCCATCTCCTTTTTCTTTGCATTAAGTCAGTGGCAGACAACAGGACATGTTCCACAAGCTAAATTCAGACAACCTGAGAAAGTGCAATATCCGAATTCCCAGTTGAAAATGGGGAACCGGAAGAGAAGAAAGGCAATGATATAAACATGAAGAATAAGAACTTAGAATGTGATGTTTATACTGCCAGCGAATCAAACTGGTTGCCATGGAGAGGAGGATAGGACAGACAAGAAGAGCATCAATGATCAGACCGAACTAGGAATAAAACAGCAACTGTCATCAAAGATTATCTTACTCCATTTAGGCTTATGAGATAACTAGATACATATACCTCATATGAAAAAAGACGAAGGGAATCCACCCCAATGTTGATATCAGCAAACTCCACTGAGACATATGAAGAGGATCAATTGTGACAGACCACCATAAGTCCCGTTTGACTTTCCCGTCCAAGAATCGTTCCAGAAATGCTAAAGCTCAAACATTACTGAATAGGAATAAGACAAGCCCACAGAAAACGGACCCATTATTCTCCTATGGTACTAAGCCCACATACCAGCGAGGTGGATTTTGTTACTCAAACTTCGGCATCGTATTTACATACAGAGATTTATCCCAAATGAATCCTACACCTCAAATGCAAGCATTTAGATAATTAATAATTTAGAAAGGTCCCGGTTGACATTTTTATTTTCTCATTTTCAAGAGTAAAAGGAATCAAATGTCTACAATGTCAGTGCCGTCCTACCCTATAAAGCATGACCGAATTTAGTACTGACTGGAAAAAAGAAAGCGGAAGATTAAGGGGAGGAAACATAGAAGCATGTATGTTGATGGGAGTTAGTGGGGTTTTAAGAGTCTTTCACAAGAAAGCTTACATTAAGCTAAACATGACAGAGTATGTACAGACTTGAACGAGAGACGGGGACAGAAAAATCTAAGAGTTCTCATGTCGCGGGTGAAAATATCAGTCACAGTTATTGTTCCAAAACATCAGAGAAAGAATATGCAGGTCTATGAGTTGCAGATGCAGTCAATTAGTTCAGCCTACCAATGCTTGGAGAATCAGAGAAGTGAAGATCAGGGCCTCCACCTAACTGATGAAACCCCTAGCAGACAGCCATATACATTAATGCCCGTGCAATATCCCCTCTAACTTGACAGTAGGAAACGAACATGACCATGGTGTCCCAATCTCATGCCAAAAAGAAGGAACGAGCTATGTAGAAAGGCTAAACATACGACTGATCAACTTAATGAAGTATTAAACCAATTCATAGGAGAACGGTATATAAAACGGATTATATTGTCCTAATGATTCATCAATCATTTACCAAATATTCAGTGTTCAACTGGCAAGCAATAGCTATTGTGGCCTCAGCATGGATGCTATAAATAAGTTTCAAATAATACGGAAATTGCCACAACCACACTTAATTCTTTCTAACATGCTCATAGGTTGTCCCTCAAATTGTGAAATTATGTTTCCCCTGTTCCAGAAACAAATGATTGCTATTTGCTAACAGATCAATCTAAAGTATCGCAGGCATGCCAACGTCATGAAAAAGAATGGACCGACCTTGGCAGAGCCCATCTCTTCGTGTCTGATTCTGTGTCAATTGCAGCTTCCTTGTTCGCTGGTCTCAGACACTTTCTCCATGATCATTTGTTCAGGAAGTGGATTGTGATGCGGTTCCATCTATTTCAAGTGCAAGTATAGGACCTGTGGGGTTTGGCACTTGCTGGCAGTGAGCTCTTCTATATAAGCTGAAAGGTTTTTTATCGTTTGACATTCTGAGTGGATGTTAAGCACCTTCAATATATTGGGCTAAACATGGCAAGTGACGAGGTGGCATCTCTTGTTTCCAGTTCTATTAGTGTTTCTTTTTTACATGAATCTGGACGATGTAGCGGTAGAGACTGGCACTAAAATCAAATCGTGGGCATGGAGAAAGACAAAAAATGGAAGAGTGGATTGATCCCAAAGATTGATTGCTTGGGACTGCTTGGAAGAGTATTTAACACCTGGAATGCTAGTCAAGTAGGACAACAGGTTACCGCTAGCCTTATGTCCCCAAACATAAACTTGCCAACACTGATGACTATGAATTTCTTTTGGCCGTTGGAACAGTTGGAACAGTTGACAGAGTGCGATGCCTCGAGAAAGACGGTGCAAATTGGCAATGTAGCCAATGATGAACCGACCGCAGGGTCAAGTAGGTGTGTGTTTCCATAGCTTGTGGCTCCATAATAAACGCTAGGATGCAGTTCATTAATCCCGCAGTAATACGTATCACAGCCATATATCTAGGTCAATCATGTTGATGAATGCATGAGCTATTAGGAAGTGATCCAGAGGCAGAAGGTACATGAGGCCTCTTGTTTAGTATGCAAGATGATTGTAATTGAAAGAGCAGTCAGTAATAATCTTGTGTTGAAATCCAGGTGAGAGAATCAGTCTCCCATTGGAGCTTTCACAGTTCATGAGCCATGTACACAGAACAAGGATTTATTTCATCTCACATATATGTGACAATCTTCGACCATTGATGCCTAAATTGAATTGTGATGAGAGTAATTGATGGAGGCCACTCGAGAGGAAACTAAGCGAGCAACATCGGAATCTGTTACATGTTCAGTTCTTATAAGCAATACCCCTCTTAATACGCAAAAAATGATTACTGTGATGAGGTGCTCTGTCGCATTCTCCATTACCAAAGTGCATATTGAACATCAAGCTCAAACTATCACAAATTACAATGCCCTCATGTATAGCCAGTTTATTAGTTGAACCAATTTATCCTACAAGAAACACCAGCCAATATACAGAAGATACTAGGTACTTCAATACTTTGACCCCAGATACTAAGAAAACGCGATTCGCCATTAACATATTCAGGTAAAAAACCAAAAAATCTGTGCGGAGTTCTTACACCTCTTTACTATAATCTCAGCTCCAGCTCAAGGGCCAATCTTCGTGTCAGGACTCCAATTTCTTCATCTTTCATCACCTGTTAGGTCTCCATTCTTGTGTACACAAAAAACAGCAACTGGTTTCATCCATCCAATCAATGTTGTGCCCACTGTATGCTCTTGATGTCGACTCCTTCCTTGACCATTTCATAAAGCGGGCTCATCTCCCTCAGCTTCACCACCTGCTGCACTGTAAGCTCGACCGCCCTATCGATCTCTTCCTCTGTAGTAAACCTCCCGATTCCATATCGAATTGAGGTATGAGCCATGTCCTCGTCCACACCCAATGCCCTCAACACGTACGACGGCTCCAAGCTCGCGCTCGTGCAGGCGCTGCCACTTGACACCGCGACCTCCTTCAGCCCCATCAACAAGCTCTCCCCTTCAACGTACGCGAAGGACAAGTTCAAATTACCGGCATACCGCCTCTCCATGCTCCCATTAACCACGACCCCATCGATTTTCTCCCTAATCCCATTAAGCAGCCGCTCCTGCAGAGCGCTGATCCTCCCGTGGTCGTACTCCATTTCCTTCATAGCCAGCTCGCACGCCGCGCCCATCCCGACCACGAGCGGGGTCGGGACAGTCCCGCTCCGGATCCCCCGCTCCTGACCACCACCATTCATCTGCGGCTCGACCCTTATCCGGGGCCGCCTCCTCATGTACAGAGCCCCAATGCCTTTGGGGCCGTAAATCTTGTGCCCGCTCAAGGACATCAAGCTCACATTCCACTTCTCAACGTCAATAGGGATCTTCCCCAGAGCCTGAGCAGCATCAGTATGGAAGGGAACATTGAACTCCTTGCAAATCCTCCCAATCTCCTCCATGGGCTGTATGACCCCAATCTCGTTGTTCACCGCCATGACCGAGACGAGCCCCGTGTCGGGGCGGATCGCGGAGCGCAGGCGCTCCAAGTCGACGATCCCATCGGGGCCGACGGGGAGGTAGGTGACGTCGAAGCCCTCCTGCTGGAGGTGGCGGCAGGAATCGAGGACGCACTTGTGCTCGGTCTGGGTGGTGACGACGTGGCGCTTCTTGTCGCGGTAGAAGTGCATGACGCCCTTGACGGAGACGTTGTTGGACTCGGTGGCGCCGGAGGTGAAGACGATCTCCTTGGGGGAGGCGCCGACGAGGGAGGCGACCTGGGAGCGGGCGGACTCGACGGCGAGGTCGGACTCCCAGCCGTAGAGGTGGGTGCGGGAGTGGGGGTTGCCGTAGCGGTGGAGGTAGAAGGGGAGCATCGCGTCGAGGACGCGGGGGTCCACGGGGGAGGTGGCCTGCATGTCGAGGTACAGGGGGCGGCCGGAGATCCGGACGCCCTTCATGACGACGCCGGAGGACGCCTCCTCGTAGGGCTCGGCGGCGGCGGCGGCGGCGGCGGCGGAGGCGGTGGAGAGGAGGCGGCGGAGGAGGAGGGGAGGGGCGGCCGCCGCCGGCGACGATCGGCGGAGGGCGGCGGAGGCGAGGAGCTTGGAGGCCATCGGTTTTTGGGGTTTAGAGAGAGAGAGAGAGAAAGAGAGAGAATTTTAGGTTTTTGTTCTGCGACTTTGCTGGAGTAGAGAGAGAGAGAGAGAGAGAGATAGAGGATAAGGAGAAGGGGCGATTTTTTGCCGACTCGAGAAGAAGAGTCGCGATCGGCTCGGCATGATCGGCGCGGCGTGTCGACCTCCGGAGCCATCCAGATGCCCCACCCGTACTTTGCTTCATTTTTCTTTTTTTTTTTTGTGATAACGACACAAAGGGCCGTCTTCAAACCGGTTCTACAATCGTCCAAAAAACCGAAAAAGAAGAAGGAGCTGATTCTACGCAAATAATGCACGCATTTCGTAGCATTCGATTATTTTGACATCTTCAAAATAATATATATGGGATTTACCCAAGATAGTGACTTGAAAGAAATGAGTTTCTTAACTGTAGATTAAGAAGAAAAATCCTTACAATACTTTTAAGACTTTTACCGAGTTATGTTTAGGTCAGACACATCCAATTTACGGCGATACTTGAAATAGTACTCTCAACTAGAGGCTTCGAATGAAGGAAACTTTGGATAAGAAAATGGTCGATCGCGAAGTTAGCTGACATTATAATCGTGCATGGTTGGTCATTCTTTTGCATCAGTCGAGAGTAGAGAAGAAGCTAAAGGCTCTCCGACAATACTTGAATGCTAGTGTTCGACCAATTTGAAGAAATACGAGGAAGGCCTATTGCTTGAAGCAAAATAAAGTGTTATGAAGTTTAGGGTGAAATCCGCCTTGGAAAATCTTCCGAGGGGGTGTGTCCATAACAAGCGGCATGCTTGTTTCGGTGGCTTATTTGGCTGGATTCACCATGGAAGGAGCAGGCCCTCAGATAACTTGATCTCTCCAGTTATGCCTTGTTCTTGCAGTTGTGTCACTACTTTTGGTAAATCGCAAGTGTTCAGCTGTCACCGCAATATTTCATCCTCTTCTTTTTGTCGGAAATGAGTTTCTTTCGTTCATTAAGGCAAAAGTTGAGAATACACGAAAGATATTGTTAAACATAACAAATCCCATAAGGCTTGCGGGGGATAGATTACCCAATTTTGTGGTAAGGCCTTTTTCTCCGTGCTTTAGCAACCCAGTTTGTTACTTTGTTGGACTCTCTTAGACAAGAAGCTCTCGGATCGGAGGAAAACGAAAATGTATCCTATCCCCTAGGTGGCAGGGCCAACTAGATATCTGAAAATTGCAACAACAGATCACACGGCTTTCTTCGCCAAGCACTTTTGACTTCCCACCTTGGCTGATCTGAGCTTGTAAGTGTGTGCTTCTAAGATTAAAACAATCTGACTCAAGAAGACTCTCTCTCTTTCGTGAAGTGAGGTACTCTGGAGTTTCCAGAAGAGCGAGGGTTTCTGCCTGAGCAGCTGAAGCTAACTGCACAAGTCGAGCAAACCATGGACTAAACGCCCAGAGTTGTCGTGACAAATACATTGGGTTGGTTCCTTCGGTTAGTCCTTCGACAAAGGAACCATCAATGCTGATTTTCAGCACACCATTTTTTGGGTGGTTGCAAAATCCAAGGTAAGTGTCTGTTCTGCGAAGATTTCTTCTTGTCTTTTGAGATCCATTTCATGACATTGATTTACATAGGTGCTCTTATAATTTAACAGCCACTTGTTGATACGAGCTAACCCTTGACTTGATATTTTGATTTGAAGGTTGGATATGACCAAACAAGCTTCGTCCTGGGACAAAGGAGGAAGACATGTTCGATGGTTTCTATGGGTTGCTGACATAGAGAACAGTGGAGGCTCATGTATAATTTTCCTCCTGAAAAGGTTGTCTTTTGTTGGTAATGCGTTCCAGCGCACACCCCCCCAAGAAAAACCTGATTTTGCGATGGTTTTCGTCTACCATACTATATTATGTAAGGCTCGCGGTGTCTGGTTAGAGGATGAAGCCAAGCCATGACTTGGTTTATCAATTTCTCTCCAAGTTGTGTTTACCCTTCAGTGCATAAAATTCTCTCATCGCTCAGGTATCATTTTTGAGCGACCTTTTCAATATTCCGCATAACTTTTCGACAAGAATCCCTTGCAAACACGAAATTACTAGAAAGCAGTAGAAATCGAATTATAAGAACACGTTATTTCTCCTGTTGAAAGGAGTTTGATGAGCACAAAACTTCAAGGGAGAATATCTCATTGCTCATGCAGCTTTTTTGAGGAATCATTATTCGAATTCAATATAACTTTTCGAGAAGAATCTTCTAACGAACACGAAATTACTAGAAAATATAAACTGTCAAAACACGTGCGATATGTTATGTTGCAAGGAGTTAGAAAAGGCAAAACCTCAGGAGATTTGGTACCAATCCTCACCAATTTATCATCTGAAAAATGAGTCACTATGGGAACTGTAAGGATTTCATTCACTATCTGCTCATCAAACAGGTGAATATGTTCATCCCAGTTAGCACCATCCTTAATAATAAAGTCAACAACTTTCTGTGGCTCTCTTTAGGTTGCTGGCCCGCGCCCAATCACTCCTCTTTGAAGCCACTCATTCTCTTTTGTACTTTTTTTCACCATTTCCTACTAACCACAAAACAGAATGAGAAATTGCTTCTTTGCCCAAAATTAAGCTTTACCAGCCCCATGATGGACCAGATTCCGTCCCTGCATGCCAAAGATGACAATGAGAGAAATAAATTCCTTTCGGTAACTGACTCTATAGTGACGATGGAATTCATGTCATTGGTCACGCTTGCTTTTCCAAGATTGGCCTATTATAGGGGATCAAATCCCTAAATCGAATCTCACCGTTTTCCTTCCTAAGTTTTAGCGCATCCCATATCTTCTAGAGCAGTTCAGGTTTTATATCACTCGTTCCTCCCGCCAAAGAGATGCAATTTTCTGTTCAATAGCCTGACAAGTGGACTTTGACTTTAAAAATGGACATTACATACCGTGGCAAGGCCTGCATCACAGCTTTACTAGAATTTTCATCCTTGCTTTTGACATGATTGTTTTCTTTACACCCTTCTTATTTGATGTTCACCCTCGCATATATCCAAGCATATATTTTCCTTTTTGACACATCCTCGCCTAACGCAATACCCAAGTTTTTGCTTGTCTTCTCAATCTTGGGGACTCTCATCTCGCAAGCCATATTCCTTCTCAAGTTCTATGAACAATTAATGCTACATTAAACCCCGAATTTGCACAGGTTGATTGCTTGACCAGATGCAAAAACTATATTAATTTAGGACTGATGCCGAATTCTGACATTCGCTTGTCTTTCCATCAAGGAATAAAATATAATCATTCGTATAAAAGAGATGTGATAAACTTGGACAGAATCTACTCAAATTTATCCCTTTAACATTGGTCTATTGCTTTCTCCATAAAAAAGACTAAACATTAGTAATCAGGATAAAGAGATACTCGATCACCTTATCAAATGCCTCTCAAGGGTTGAAAGTATGAGAATGGCTTTCCATTAATTTGACACTAAAATAGACCGTCCCAAACCCATTTCTCACTAAAATAATCTTTAACAGTTAAGCTTCCAAAAAAACCCACTTAGCATCAAGTTTAAGCACCGGAAATTTTTTCCTCCTCTTGCGAACTCTTAGTTGATATAGCACCTCCTACAAATTCAAAATGTTCTCTTGAATTTGTCTTCCACTTGCAAAAGTACCTTTTTTTATTGCAATCATATCAGGCAACCAAGGTATGAGGTGATTGACCACGACTTTAGGTACGATCTTGTAAACAAAGTTGCACAAGCTGATTGGGCGAAATTGATCCAGTTTTTTTGGGTTGGGGACTTTTGGAACGAGAGAAATGAATGTTCTGCTTAAGCATGGATTCATTTACCTAGTGCTTGAAAAAATTCTTCACTTCATTGGAAACATCTTGCTAAGTATCTTCCCGGCGATGTTGATTAACTTGTCCATTTAACCTATATGGCCTTGGTACTTTTGTGGATCGCAATTGAAAAGCTACCTCTTTTACCTCCTTGATAGTCACACCAGCCGTTAAGACTTGGTTCATTTCCTCCATAACCAAATGGAAGAAGTGGTCAAGCAATGGCTGGAAGTTGCAAACCCACTGGACAGTATAATTTCCCGAAAAAATCAACTGCCATTTGCTTCAGCGGGCTAGGATCACGGGTTCATTCACCATCTGTAGTATTTGATACTTTTGCCCTTGTATTTGTCGCCTTTGTATCCTTGTTTAATGGAAGTATTTGATACTTTTGCCCTCCCTATTTCAGCCTGTTGGTTTTAGATCTCATTTTCTAATGCTTCAGCATTAGGGAAAATCACTCTCTAGTCAATATTGTTCAATATCTTCTCTAAGCTTTTTTTAACATAAGCATCGCCCTCTCGATTGTTTGCCTATGTAAACACACTTCTCCTACAATCCAAATCCATCAGAGAACAAGCATTTAGGAATTCTTGAAAAGGCATTGAGTCTACAGGTTCAATCGTATGTTTCCCCACTTTCTTCGCATGATAGAGAATTTCATCGAAACTCCCTAGACAATCCCAGGAGAGATGATGTAAAAGGCTAATTCTGTGCAACTTGTCCCAAAGCTGCAGTCTTTCCTCAACACATTTGGTGCATGAATAAATGCAATTCGCATTTGTTGCTTACTCTCTTCAACTTCACACACCAGATTAATAAATTCCTTAAGGGCAGCCTCAATCGTTAATGATATTTCCTCATTCCATAAAACTACAAGGCCCCCTGCGGTACTCACCGGAAAAACAGCTCTTAAACCGCAGACGTTGCTACAAATGTTGCAGCACTGGTTCTTAATTTTTTATCTCCATTAGAAATAACACATTGGGCCTTTCTTGAGCCACAATAGTCATTGATGCTCGAACTGTAGAGGTGTGCCTAACCCTTGCAACTCCAACATGAAATTTTCATCTGTAACCTAGTGGCTTATTAGGCTAACCACCAAAGCCCATTCATTCGATTCTTCCACAACATGAACTGGTATTTCAAAAAGTTGAGTTTCATCAAGTGCACTAGGACTGTACACCCGAGGGCCATAAGGACTGTATCTCCTTAATTTTTTGCTGACTGAGGGATTTTAAACCTTTGTCTTTTTCTTCTGAGCTCCCTCTACTTGCGGCTTAGGAGCAGGGGAATAGGATTCCTTATTTTGAGCTGGAGCGGGGAATGGTAGAAGGGTGTCGTCAGCCATATATTTTTGTTTTCCGTGAGACGGCGTTATTTTCTCCGGTCACTTCTTTTTCCCTTCCTTCCTGTTCATTGCTCTGCATCCTGACTGGGCTACTGTCCCTTTCTCCAAGGGTACAAATTTGCATTATTTTCACAAGAATGATTTCATCTTCTAGACATTCATCAACCTTCTTGTCAATAAAGATTTCCAAATGGACTGCATTCATGCACACCTACTCTAAGCCACTGTCCAGAAATGCCCTCATTTCAGTGGGAAATTCTAGCTTTCATCAAAAGGCTACTTCACAGCATTTGCATAGTGTCCATTTTTCCACATGAATAGCGAAAATGAGGCAGCCTTCTATATTCAAAATTCAACCAATGCTTCTTTCCTTCATTACTGGTTATAGCTCTAGACTTCAGAGGAGCTGATAAATCTACCATAACACTTGCCCTCCCTATTTATAAGGGGCAAGTCCTTTTGCATCTATCCTGACCTCTGAAAGTGTACCACTTTTCTTCGCTGCTCTACAAACTACTTCTCTCGAAAACCATTCATACGGGAGGCCATGAGTTTGAACCAAGAATGCACAGGTAGTGAACTCATAACAATGACGTGGTGTTTAGGCTCCCAATTGTTTAAGCAATAAAAGATGATTTGTAAGAGACCTGATCCAGTTTCAAGCACACGATTCTTTTCCACTTCGGATCTGAAAGTGAAAGCAAATATCCCGGAATCCATTTGGGTCTTTGTGGAGTTGCCCATCCATAGTAATTCAGCATTCATTTACTTATTCAATCGATATCACACCATCCCAGCTGTTTTGAATTAAACGGAAGATAAAGTTATTAAATTTTTCCAATCTTCATAATGAATTATACAGGAGCCTATTTATAGGCTTTACAGAAGGCTAACTATAGTAACAGAATATTACAATAAAAATTACAATCAATTAGAATAAAGAAATTGCGATCTAAAAGATACACAGAATTATGTAATATATTTATAACATCCCCATAGACTCAAGGTGACATGGAAGAAGTCAACTGGAGTTTAGAGAAAAAATCGCGAAAACGCTGGGTGAATGAACATTAGTGAATACAACAGCAATTTGATTAACCAATGAAATGGAGATGAGACGAACGGTGCCTTGAAGCACGTGAGAACTTATGAAATGCAAATCTATTTTAATATGCTTAGTGCACTCATGAAAAACATCATCATGTGCTATTTGGATAAGCACTCCGATTGTTGCAATGAAGTATTATTCCACCGTTTTGATAGACACCCATGTCCTATAATAACCATCACAACCATAATAATTCTGTTATCATATCAGCAAGAACACGACCTTTTGCTTTTGTATTAGAACAAACGACATGCTACGCCATGAGATGAGTGAGTTACCTAGAAATAAGTAGTAGCTGGTAGTGGAACGACGAACAAGAGGGTCTCCAGCCCAGTTAGCATCAGAGTAAGCCTTCAACTCCAAGGTAGATTGTGCAGAAAAGTGAAGGCCATGAAATAAGGTGCCTTTAACATAGAGATGAATTTGAAGAATGGCAGCAAAATGAGTGGTTCGCGGCACAATCATAAACTAATTGACAATGTGAACAGCGTAAGCTATGTTAGGACGAGTGACAATGAGATATACAATATTACCAACCAACTTTCAATAAGGAGTGCGATTCGGAAGAAGAGTCATAGCTTTGTCATTAAATTTGGCATTAGACTCGATGAGAGTTGTAACAGTGTTGTTATCTATGAGTCCTACTCGAGAAAGAAGATCAGTGACATATTTAGCTTAAGAAAGATAATTGCCAGACGAATCGGAAGAAGCCTCCAAGCCTAGAAAAATAACTGAGCCGCTCAAGATTTTTCATTTCAAACTCTTGATTGAGATATTGCTAGAGTTTTGTGATCATTGCCAATGAAAACCATGTCATCTACATGTAAAAGTAGCAGAATATACCCATGAGACGTTCGTCGAACAAAGAGAGCATTGTCATAAGAGCTGGCTTTAAATCCAAGGCGTTCCATGGCGGAGCTGAACTTGGAGTAATATGCACGATGAGCCTGCTTTAGTCCATATAATGTCACTTTCTGACTACAGTTTCCCTACTTTTCTACGGAGAATGGCCAACTGAATTTCTGCATCGTCGTCTTCGTCCATTGGCTTTCTTCAAGAGAGAAATGCAAGGAGTTGATAAAGAACCATCGTCAGAATTCGCGATCAATAAGTGAAACTGCCAATTGAGAGAAAGGAGAACAGAAAAACTAAAGAGTTTGTAGGGTTTAAAAGAGCTACCACTGTTAGAGGTTCATATGAGCTCTTTTATGGGGAGAGTCACATGCCACCTAATTTGACATAATAAAATCTATTATAGAATAAGAGTAGCAACACGTCTATATTAATATAATATAATACATATTTTAGAGATATTAGATGCGATTTTCATTTATCTAATCACGTGCATTGTGCACACTTGATTCCATTCTTGTGATGAGATCCGTGTAAATGTCTCGTGACGATTTCATTATCAAAGAGCCCTGAATCAAACAACATGTCTGCTCGAGCTCCCTCATGGTATTAACAACAATTTCAAGATTAGATGAACATAGTGAGAACTGCCTATGCACGATAAAAGAGATCATTATTAAGTCAATCAATAGTACGGGGTGAGAATTTCACACATTCTACGGTTGACCTCTTGACACGTGTATGTGTGGATCCCAGTACCTATACCAATGTCGGATTAATGGCTCAATGTCGGTGCACCTTTTTCCCTGATTATTTTAAGGAAAATATGGAAAGCCCCGAAAGGAGAGAATCTTGGGAGTGGCCCCCATACGACGCAGTTTCGATGCGGAGCTCGGACAGAAGAGAAGACAACCCCGACCATGTCTTCCGTTCCCATGTCGTCGTCCTCATCGTTTTCAGGAATCAGCACCACTAAAATTAACCGAGGAGAAGATCCACTAAATTCTTGGAATGGCGGTGAGCGCATGACGTACCCTTCTTCATAAAGCAAAAAGCTGCAACGTCAATTCGCGGCCTTGAAGTTCGCTCGCTCGCTCGCTCGCTCGCTGGGTGATCTTCCTCAGATCCCAAATCGCGCAGTCAAACGAAAGCTCCATCCTTTCTGTGCGAGAAAAGACACCCCACCTCGACACCCCCTTCGATCCCAAGCGACTGTGATCTGTCCAATTTGAGTGCGTGTAAAGCACCCCTTTCTTTTCCCATCTCACCCATTTCTTGATTCGCCTTAAAGCGTTCTCATTGCGCCCCCCCCCCCCCGGTTTTCTTCTTTTCAAGTCCCATTTGCTTGCGTTGAATAGGCGGGGCCAGTTCGTCATCTGGGTAAGTTCCGTTTCTCTCCGGATTTCGCCCTCGCCCCTAAAGTAGATCTCTTTATGTCGATGTAGATTTGTTCGGTTTCCTTTGTTGGCCCCGGGTGTTGGTCGAGTGAGATCTGCTTATCCCCATTTTGTTTGATTCGATGATGGGTATGTTGTGTAGCTTCAGTGTACTTGGAAATGTGGGTTTTGTTCGGCTTTTTGATCGGGCTTGATTGGGACTTTCGGTGGTGCGAATGTCGATTTAGTTGGTATGTCATGAAAATTGCGTACTTGTATTGTAGATTCATGTTCTTCCAGTGAATTTCGGGCAGTTCTGATATGACTGTAGATTTAAAGGGTGTTATCTCTTAAATTCATATTGAGGATGGTTTGGTTACACCTAGTAGCTCTTAGCACACGTCCAGTGAAAATCTATTTGTTTTCATGTTTCTTCCCTGTGCTGTGGAGTTTAATAGTGTAATCTCTCAAAGATGGACAACCAATTTGGACTACATTTGTTGATGATTTGCTGAATTGTCACGAAGTTGTTGTGAACCCCTCTGAAAAGCAAACCATTTATCCATTTTGTGGTATTGGGCTGGTTTTTGCAGACAAATAGTCTCGAGATTGAAGAGGATTCAAGATGTTTAGGCTTTCACCTCGCAGAAGCCAGAGGTCGAAAGGCTTCAAGGTCAAGCATGCTTTGCAGATCCTTCTTCTGCTTGGCATCTGCATCTGGCTTCTGTACCAAGTGAAGCATTCACAGAATAAGAAGGCGGAGTATGACCAAAGTGCAAAAGCAGCGAACGATATTGTGAAATTTGGTAGAAAGGATCTCAATCCTCAAATGGAGGCTGGAGCTGCCGGCAATAAGGAGGATGAAGAAGAGGACGAAAATAGGAATGACGAAGATCAAAGCAAGTCCGAAGAGAGCCTTGGTTTAGGGGGTAATAGCAATGACGAGATTCAAGAGCATCAAGATCAATCTGGCGTTGGAGCTGAGAGTAGAGAGGATTCCTCAGATGCTGAGAAGGCGAGCGAGGAAAGGACAGAGGATCTGAATGAAGCAAGCAAAGAGAAAGAAGACATTGAATCCCATGACAGGAAGGATGAGATGGAAGGTGGGGAAAAGGTGAATAGTGAGGTCGCAGACAACAACAGTGCTGCGGAGGAAAGTGTAGAGGATGGCCAACAAAAGGAAAGTAAAGAGGAAGGGGAAGGTAAAGAAAACCAGACCGAAGAGAGCAAAATTCAAGAGGTGAGTTCTTCAGATAATCAGGTTGATGATGGAAATGGAGAGCATAATGCGGGAGCGAGGGAGGAACACTACAAAGGGGATGATGCTTCCAGTGCAGTAGCCCATGAATCCGATAATGCAGTAACCAGGGAGAAGCAAGAAGATTTGGAACATTCTGACAAGCAAGAGAGCTCAGAACACGAAGAGAAAAATAATGAAGAGAATAAATCGGATACCTCTGAAGTTGCTGAGGATCATCAAAATGAGACAGTTCATCTCAGTGAAAATAATACAACTGAGAATACTGTTTCTTCTGATGCAGAAGTCCAAAAGGAGGGTTCAGCTGATGGTAATCAGGAGGATAATACGCACCATAGCTCCAGTGAAGCAAGAGAATCTGATGAAGCGAAGACAGAAACATCAGAATCGGCACAGCAGAACAATATAGAATCCACAGATACAACGGGACAAGACAGTGCTGCCCAACAAAATGAAGAAACAAATCATAAAGAATCTAATGAAGATTCTACCCAACAAGATGTACAGTCTGAGAAAACCGATTCAGGGGCTGGCGATGAGCATTCCAGTTCTGGAGCAACGTCTTCCACTACGAGTGATGATGGAGTTGGCGGTACAACAGGACAAGACACTCCTGCCCAACAAAATGAAGATACTAATCATAAAGAATCTAATGAAGATTCTACCCAACAAGATGTACAGTCTAAGAAAGCCAATTCGGGGGCTAGCGATGAGCATTCCACTTCTGGAGAGACACCTTCCACAAGTGATAATGGAGGTGGAGATAACGGAGGATTTGCAGATTCTTCTGGAAATTCTGAACAAACTGTTGAAAGCAATGGATCAGAGGAGAAGGGTTCAGTGCCTGTTGACACAAACCAAAAGGACAGTGCTCAAGGCGAAAATGCCCAAGATAGTGTTGAAAAGGAAAAAGTACAGGAGAATGTTATGACACTGAAACAAAACGAGAATTCAGATGCTGGTGCCAAGGAAGGTGCCGATTCTTCGAACTCCTCGACTCAGCAAGGGAACAATGAATCCTCGGACAACAATAATGCTGAAACAGGCCAGAGTGAGAACACCACCAATGATCAGAGCAATGCGAACGAAAATGCGAAACCAAAGGACAACGCAGGTGCTGGCCAAACGGAAGAACTAAGCTCTAGCGATTCTGCGAAGCATCAAGAGAATAATGATGCATCCTCGAACGCGAATGATAACAATGACGCTGGCTCTAACGGCAATAGTGATGCTGATCAGCAAAATTCCCTGACCTCTGAAGAACAGAAAGAAACAGGGGCAAACACTAATAGTGGTGCTGATGCGACCCAGACTGATTCTGTGGATCCATCAATCTCTCAGGAAATGAAAGAGGCCCGGACAGATTTGGGGACCCTACCAGACACAGGGAATGAAGGAACTAACAGTAAGGATGCAGCAGCAGAGTGAGATCAAGCTTCCTGTGAAGTAGGATTCTGTCTTTTGATCCTATTCTAGGTGATTGGTTTTGTATTACTATTTTTTGAGGTTGGTCGCACAACTGTAAGGTTCTTTGTATGTTTTTGTGCTACGTGGATGCAATATGATATAATTATCATGTCTCTCTGCAACTCTAGTGTTGAGGAAGCTAGGAAAAGTAGTTACATGTGATGGATTAATCTGCGATATCAATGCTATAATCTTTGTTTGTCATAGGTACTTTTCTGAGGTTCCTCACAACTTTGTGCACCTTATTTTGAGTCCTGAAGTATTAGAAATCAAAAGTAAGGCACCTCCGTCGCCAACTTGCCGGGAAAAGTTGTTGGTTGACTGCTTAATTTGCTTGCTGAGGCTCTTTTTGACTGGGTATGTAATCAGCTCGACGTACATTTCATTCGGTCATCTCATAAGTTAGGACGATCTCATGTTTGTAGTAATCTCTTTTCCCTGGCCAAACTGTTTATAGTGTTTTGCTCTCGAGTAAAAGGAGAAAAGTTGCGTTTATCACTTTGACATCAGTAAGTTTGAACTGTGGAGTGTGGTTATTGATTTGTTAGTGTGAGCTTATTTGGGTTTGGCTGTAGATTTTGGCTTTGACTGTCTATTTATGGCTTCACAAGTTCGTGAGGTGCTCAAAGAGCTCTGAACACCAAAATATATGCGTGAAAACAAACATTTATCAAGTATGTTGAAGTAGATGTGGCTCTAGTTGAAGATAAGGTAAGGAAGGCTTGGTGGAGACGATTTGGTCACGTTGAGCCAGGGCTTTCGCGTGCTCAAATGAAGAGATACAAATTATTTTTTTATAAATAAAAAGCAAGGGAGGGACGATCGGTACTACCGACCCCCTCTTGGTCTTACCATAACGTATATAAATTATGAAATATTCAGTTTGAGCCATGATGACTCCGCATCAATTGCGATCGAAAAAGTCCGAAGTTGGCAAAAACGAGCAATAAACTCGAATCCTCCTCTGTCCTTACCAGAAAAAAAGAACTCGAATCCTCTTCTAGTGAGAAGAAACAAAATAACAGTATTGTAGTTACTCATGTCCTCAAGAAAGTTTTAAGTACTCACTAAACATTATTATCCACGTAAACCGATCATTCCACGATAAGTATCATATATTTTCTTATTTTCTTCCAAATTCATGAAAGCCGACATTCCGTAAGTGACTTTGACAGATGGAAATTTGAAATAATTAATTAATGAAAACGATTTTGTATTATCAATAAAAATTCATATTTAAACATTTTCATAGACGATAAAGTAAACATATAAGATCCGCCTAGATCAAAGGTTGAGCTGGGTCGGCAAAGGCCATAGCTGGTCAGTGCAACATCACCAGCCATCGTTGCCTACCGGTCTCGACCATCGTAGAGGTGGGGAAGGGGAAGGGGAAGAGGAGAGAGTCAGAGACGAGTATGGGGAAGATCCAAGGCGGCTCGGTGGTCACCATTGTGGTTGTAGGAAATGCCGAGGAATTGTCGGCGAAGTAGGGGGCGAGGGAAGGCAGATCGGAGGTAGAAGTCTTGCTCGAGTCTCTCTATCTCAACCCGTCAACCGGTATCTACTTGAGGAAGAACAATTTATTGATAACGAATCCAGGAATTCAAATGAAAACAATCCACCACGTCCATCAAACTTTATTGAACTACCCAGGGAAGTGTGATGAACAGAAAAACAAGAACCTGAAAGGAAAAGGAAATTCCCAATTACACGATCCACACACCGCATTTGACTCATGGCAATGGTTCTTGCATCAAAACTAAAGATGTCTGAGCAAAGGAATTTGCTAAGCAAGGGTGACTTCCTAACAGATCCATGTTACTCGTGATCATGGTGGTGCTTGGTTTCAAAAAGTCCGTCAGGACCTGAAAACACAACAAAAAATACCGTAAGGGAAAAGTACACATAGGATTCCTGAATCAAGACACCGAAAAGGGGTAACCATCTCTGCAGCCGTGCCACACTATTCATTTGACAAGAACAAGAGACTTCAATACAAAAGAAAAAAGATGGCTAAATCCTCGGTACAAATTAAAAAAAAAAAATTTAGGTTTAAGATAGATAGAGACCCTTCTTATCGACAAGACAAATCGAAAATTTCAACGGAGCAATAAAGAAACAGAAACAAAAAAAACATAATCGTGCACATGCATTATTTATCCAGCTTCTAAGACCTCTCTTACAACAATGTCCCTGCACATGCACAGCTACGTACCCATCAAGGTCCTGATAAGTTAAAATCAGGATTCTAAGACAACTATTTCTTCTTCTGTCACTGTCACAAGGATCAAAAAAAGAAAGATATGGAAATCGTTGAGAACAGTTGAATGGTTCTATCTCACAGCATTACCCAGAGTAATAAATCCAAAGCTCGGATTCCAAGTTTCCCAATGTTGTTCTCACTATAACCAGATCACTAGCTGAGAAAACTCCAATAATTTGATATAAAAGAAAAAGGTTGGGGGTGGGTTTGGAAGCATTAAGTTCATTCCAACAACCAATCTGCCAAGAATAATACATTCAATTTGCCGACTCATAAGATGATCCAGTGAAAGTTTGACTTTTTCTTACTAAAACATTTTCCACATTCAAGTCAACAATGTTTTGATAACCTAGATATGACTATTCGGACATTCCATCAGATTATAAGATCAGATCAAAGTCCATAAGTTGTAGCAGCAAAGAAGCAAAATATTATCACAGCTCGATGTGTAACAATTTCTGCGAAAAATGCATTCAATGCTCAACAATGCAAATTTCTGTGTGCGAGTGCATGCAGGGCGCTTGTGTGCAGGCAGGTGGGAGTATGCGAGAGAGAGAGAGAGAGAGGTGTTTTTGTAAGAATGTGAGGATAGAGGAAAAAACAAAAAGCTAAGCATGCTAAACAAGGTAGTCTTAGAAAGTAACCAAAACCTAGTGGCTAGTTTTGCTGTCACGGTATCAGTTGAAAAGATCCAACTGGATCACAAGTAGTCTAACTTCTAAGTAATAACAACTTACGCAGATTCAATTTCAAGATGTCAGTCTGACAAACTGATAACTTACTTATTATGGTGCATTCAACTAAACCAATGGGAACTGCAATTGAGACCTCATAACTAAATTTTAGCTTTCTGGAAAAATAAGGCTACAAATTACTTGCTTCACAAAGTTGATGCTTTCAATAACCAAAATTTTTTTTGCACTTGCAGACACTATGGTATTACTTATGAGACACTATATCATAATCACTCAAAAGTTAGCCCAAAAACATTTACTTCAATGAACCGGTATATTACATGACCCTTATGCCTAGATTGAGATTTCCAAGAAGGATAGCAATGCTCTAAGCAGGGCAAAGTTTCACCAGAATGAACAAAACCATCCATAATTGCACAGGGAGGCAACCTAAGAGATAACAATCAACCCAGTTTCCATTTTTCTAAGCATCTAAGAAATGATATCTGGTCAGCAGAATACTCTTCACTGAAGACTAGTTCCGCTTTACCCTCACAAAACTGAAACAAGTAATGTGTCCCAGAGTAGCTACATTACCTATCATCTACTTCAACATATATTTGGTCTCATTTCCATTTTCACTTCCGCAGTCAACATCAACCTAGTTGCTAGTAACACACATCCTAATTTGCCTCAACATTTCCTAGAATAGGCAAATATTGATATCAGTTCATTTGTGCTAACACAGCAACTTCACTTCTAGGTATGCCTCCTCTATGATATCGAAACTTAGTTACAACAATCAGATTTTAAAGGGCAAACCTACGATTCCACATTTACAATGTTGAAAGTTGAATAGCATGTGCCTAATCTTATGATATTCCAAAAATTGCTGAAGATGCGGAATAACAAATGTAAGGTTTCCAATAAAAAGCAAATATTAATAGTCCCCAGTCAAACAATGAAAAGATATTCAAATGTACAATCTGACAGACACTCAAAAGTCCATAGGGCCATATAGGTGCTAATAAAGCCAATACACATAAAGGAGAGCCATATTTGATATGATACATTCAGACATCAGGTCTGCACACATGAGTTACCACATCAGGAAGGATAAGATTAAGTTAGCAATGTGATGAATTATACATACCCCATGGGAACTCTTTATTGCGGATGTGCATGTATGGGTACGGCTGCAAAACATGCCAAGGAAACAGACTTGGTAAGCCCCACCACAACTATATTTCATTAGAAACAAAAAGAAATGTGCATTGCAAAATTGATCTTTGAGAAGGAAAAGCCCTGAACAAGCATTAGAAACATCAGGACTAATAGCAGGAACTAAAAGTTGCCCAACTGCTCTTGTCAAATATACGAGACTCAGGAAACCTTAAAAAAGAGTACAATAGGCACAGTGGCAGTTGATTCCTAGGAAAGAACGCTTACAGGAGGCTCATCAAAATGATGATGTCCCTTGGACAGGTTATAAATCGCCAAAATCGTGCACGTCACAATACCAGCATATGTTATCTTCTCCCACTTCGCCGTCTCATCTGTTAATTAAAAAAAAAAAATTAGCAAAACCGAATTCACCATTGACCACTGTAGCCAGAAATTGCAACAGCTTCAGACAACAGGTCGCCCTGAAACCTTTCGACTTCGAATTTTTCGCAAAGGAACCATCTCGCTACACTCCAGAATCTCCAGATTGGCAGACCGCATTCTCCAATCTACATTTCCTCATCCATAGAAAGATCGTTCAAGCTTCACAGCCGAAGCGGCGAAAAAGGGAAGAAACGATGCCCCAGGAATCGAGTACGATGGAAAAAAAAGTCCGCTTTTACATGTCAATCATAAGGTCCCCACACCTCCATCACAGCTTCAGCAGCAGCAGAAAGGATCACCCACGCATCTCTACCACATCAAAATCAGGGAATTCGACTACATCGACCCGAAACCCTAACATCGAATCGAGCCCCCCGCGCGCGATAAAATCAAAACCCTAGAACCAACGCCCCCAAGCAGCACCAAAGAACTCAACGATCGGACCAGAATCAATCGGATCAGCACCAAAACAACCAAAATCCAATCTGAACAACAATCGAACGTGAGGGAGGGGGGAAGGGGAGGAGCATACGGGCATCGTCGTGAGCGGAGGAAGCGAAGCTGCGCTTGGGCACGGAGGAGGGGCGGGAGCCACCGCGAAGAGAGGTTCGGAGAAGAGCAGATCGCGCCATCGCCATCGCCATTTCCGTTTCTTCTGACCCGTTCGCTTGGAAGACCGCTCTGAGACGCCCCCCCTGTTTGGCTGCACCCTCTTATTTATTATACTCAAAAAAGTATTTGTAATTGCAAGAGAAGATACATTACTCTTTATAGAGTCAGGAAAAAAAGAAAAAAACCCGGACCAGACCGGACCGAACCGAACTGGTGGTCCCGAGAGAATTGGTAAATATCGGTCCAGTTCTTGGTTCTAGCTGTAAACCCACCCACCCGGATCACTCGGATATGAGAAGATCGAATTTTTTCTTTAATTATTATTATTCCAGATTTTCAAAACCTGATTTCCATTCTTTTCTCGCTTGGGCTCTTAGTCATGCACGCTCGTTGTTCTTGCCTCTTACCGTCACTTCTCTCGGTCTGAGTCACGCAGCGCTCACGCCTCTCGGACTTGGTTCTTGATGATCATTATAGATTTGTTCGTGGAGATGATCGTCGTGTTTAGCTTATCACGAGCTCGTTCTATTAACATTGTTCATGTAGTAGTTTAGAGTATGCAACAACACTTACAGTCACGAAGAGAATAGGACAAAAAAAAAAAAGGTGATACGACTAGCTCCTATACCTGCTCGAGTGGATCTAGGATCAGGTGGGCCGGTTCGGCTCACCCTGAAACCGATCACTTTTAATTCTTTTCTTGGATAATTGCATAAATTGCAAGAGAAGCAATTTATTATTTTCTATAGATTTTGCTAAGCAATTGTTGACAGATCAAATAGCAAAAATTGTAGCTTTTAATATCTTAGAAGTTCTCTTTTTTCTGGACATGCATCACCACACTTGATTTTTTCTAAACTATAAAACTTTCTCTAAAGGATGATTGCTCAAAATTCCCGTCATCTTTGGATCGGTTTGCAATAGCTCTTGAACTTTCAAAAATTATAAATTGCATTCCCGGAACTGCACCCTCGAGCATTAACGCGCAAATTTTGAATAGCTACAAATGAGAAAAATTAGTTAATCTATTTTCAAGCAACGCTTAACAACTTCGATGGCAAAAAATTAGCAACCGCAACAAAAAATGAAGTTTGGGAGAGTCATTTGTAAATTTTTAAAACTTGCATAATGGTGCTTAATTTCAGGGAGGTAATTTATTATTGGGTTAATATCATGAAAAATCCCAAACCGGTACATATGTAACAAATTTACCCCAAACTTATTTTTTAACCGCAAAAAACCACAAACTAGTATTCATGTGACAAGTATACCAAAAACTAATTTTTTGACCATAAAAAACCCTAAACTGGTACACTTTTTACAAATGTACACTTCGTTAATTTCCGTTAAATTAGATTAATATCATGAAAAATCACAAAATGGTACACCTGTGATAAATGGAGAGTAAAAGCCCAAATCAATATACATGTTAATTGCCACGTATCATCCGACTCAACAATTTGACAGTAAAATTTAACGGAACCTAACGGAGGATAAATTTATCACAAGTGTAACAGTTTGAGGTTTTTTGTGGTATTATCCCTTTATTATTTTGCAGAGTTTAGGGCTATTGCACAACAATACCAAAAGTTACGGAAATTTTGAGCAATTCTCTACTTTTTAAGATGGGTTTGTGGGACCTGTTAACTTATATTTCAGAGTAGACCTCCTTCTGATTTTTACTTAGTACCTAAAACCCCAGTACACATAAACCAATAATATAATGGACCAATTAAGATGCACATCAGAGCCCCAAATCAATAGGAACCATATTAGAACATTTGCACATAGGTTATGAGAAACATAAATTGTATTATTCGGCTCATTCAGACTTGTATATTTGTTACTTGAACGTTAGGTGTGTTCTTTGAAAAAAGCTGTATCCTAACCCTATATCGGAAAGAGCAACTTAAAAAAGGAGACATTTTCAGTGGCTACCTTTCTTACTTGGGAAGAGAAATGTGGAGAGTTCGATTCCCCACCTTCTCAGAAAGGGTTAGGGGTAGGAACACCTAGCTTCAGCTGTAGGTTTCTTGCAAAGAGGTTTGACAAAAGTTTGAGAATGAATTGAGAGTTAGAATATGACAAAAAAAAAGAAGAAGAGGGGGGAGACAGTTGGCTAATATATATTTATTAAACTTCTAATCAGTCTATTATCGCTGGTTGTCTCCTCTCAAGACTTGTTGTCTCTTGTTTAAGAGGAGAGACTGACTGAATCATGTAAAATACAATTTAAGATAGGCCAACAATCTCTCCCCTAGTTCAGCTGAAGTTGATTACTCCTCACCAACTTTTGCTTCACGAGGATTACAATGTTTATCATCAGTTTGGCTAATGACAGAGACAGAGGCATCAATAGCTTTAGGGCAAGGAGTTGAACGTGAAGCGTCTGATGCCATGAGCTCCATCCTTCTCTTGTCCACCTTTTCCTTGAGATCTGTCAGCGCCTCCTTGAATACCATTAGCTGCTCCATGCTAAGGTTTTGGATTTCCGAAGGTATAACATGTGTGAGAATGAGCTGTAAAATATATTTATGATTGTAATTAGCTAGAATCAAGGATTATAGTTAGCTAGTTTAGAGGATATATTTTTAAGATTCTTTTTTTTTTGTATATATATACGCTTCTAGGTCATTGTAAACTTAATAAGAAGAAATACAGAAAAGTGAGGAACGTGGTTTTCTTCCTCGAAATATCATTGTGTTAACAACATGCTGTAGCTCTTTTGCCCGTTTCTTTGCTGCTTTCAGTTGCTCGAGCACATCTACATATTGTTTGTTCAGTTCAACTAGGGTTTGGTCTCCATTAGTTTGAGACTGTTGAGAACCAGCAGTACAAGCCGTCTTTGGATGCTCAAACCTGTCTAAAACTGCACCCACAGAAGGGTGTCCAAAGGAGAAAAGCTTGCCGCTAGAAGAGAAGAGAATAATGGACATCCCAGCAGCACGAAGAGTGCACAGTTCACTTACTTTCTTGAAAAGCCCTGGTCGACGTTTAGAGAAGGCTACTTATCGTGCATTGACACCCTCGATTGTCTGTGTCGCTCGGGTTGTTTTGCCCTTCGTTGTGCACACTGCAAAATCAATGTAAATTCAAATGATACTGCGAGAACAGAGAAATGACCATTTGTTAGATTTTACAGGCCAAAGGAATGCTCAAAATAATGCACCTCCCCCTCTTTGATTGATACTTCTGATTTGGCTTTCCATATATTACCGTGCGTTTTAAGAGGTTTAATGATGAAGATGTCGTTTTCCGTCAATTAGATGAAAGTGTAATCCTCACTACATTCAAAAGTTGGCATCCCTTTAACGTCTCTTACTAGCTAATAATATGGATAAAAATATGTTGAAAATATGTCTCGGATTTGAGCTCGTAAAGGAAATCCAATTCTAGTAGGTTTTCTAGTTCAAAGAGGTCTCCTAAAAGGGATTTTCTATTTTGAATACAAATTATATGAATAATATATGAAATTCTACTCGCTTATTACGTATCGGGGGCAAAACAATATGAGTTTTCTTTTTGTGAGTTTTCTAGAGTAAGTTATTTGTGAGAGATTGTGAGATAGTTTGTTTTACTACTGTAATTTAGGGCTGTAAAACACTTGAGCTATTGAGCAATTGTAGAATCAGCATTACACAGCTTACATAGCTCAGGGTAAACCCTTGTGGACCCAAACACCCTTGAATATAAGGTTCTCTTGCTCATGCTCATGCCCGTACGAATTGGCTAATCATTCTCTCGTAGCTTGCGATTCAATCATCGTAATATTAACATCACTTGTTGGTTAAACTCAATCAAGAACATGCAAATCTTTTCACGTTTCGAGATGTTACAATCTTTCATTATAATTTCTACGCTGGCAGAGGAGTTGTATGGTCACTCATCCAAGACAGAGAAGAGATCAAATCCTTCATGTGCTCCAAACTTTCTTGAGTTTCATGTACTAAAAGTTTCCTGCCGGGTCGCCCTTCTCCGCCCTTTTGTTCTATCAAAACAAATTTCCCGACGCACGAAAATTTGAAATAAACCGCTTCATGTTTCTTGAAGCTCGCATCTGCATTGAAGGCCTAGAGATATCAAGCCTCGATTAATGGATGCCCCAAGGAAAATTTAGTGTGTTATCGTTACCTTCAACAGTAGAACTTGTAGCTTGATAAGCAACGAAGTGGAGAATTGGCCTAACCCGTGTGAATCGAAAACTCATCTTTGCAGGCCACAAAGGAAAAATGGTTGGATTCGTCCCAAAAGATCCTTGTGGAGGAGTAACAACTACAAAGGAAATTGAGGAATCGTCATGGTCGGGACGAGCTCTATTTGCTGGAGTATCGAAATAAGGGAAGTGCAAAACAAACAGCCATAACGGGAAAGAGAGAAGCGAGGTTATTTTAGTCCGTTTCGGCAAGAGGGTTGTGTACTTAGCCTAAACGACTGTGGAAATAGATCTGCCCTTAGTTATCTTATAAGAAAATAAAGTGAGAGGAATTGAAAGTCAAAAAAATATAAAAGGAATTTTTTTTGGTCAGTAAAAAACATATATTTTTATATATTTGTATTATAAAAAAAAATATAAAAGGTTGTTGCAACTTTCTTTTCTGTGTGATTGCAGAGCAAAAATATGGCCCTAGTAGTTAACAAGTCATGTTTTCCTCAATTTTTGATCGGAGGAAAACTTAATCCTTAACTAACACTTAAAAGGAAATTCTGTATGAAGTACATTTCCTTTTATTTGTTTGCAATTTTAGGATGAGAAAAGTATAAAGGATTAGAAGAAGTTTTCATTCTTTTACTTCACATTCCATCCTTTTTTTTCTATTCAAATAAATAAAAGATGTGACCATTTATAAGATTTTACATGTCAAAGCAGTGCTTAATGTAATGCACCACTCCGTCTTTAAAAGGTAACTCTTATCTAACTTTCCATCTATGACATGCGTTTTAATACGTTTGATTATAAGCATGTCGTTTTCCGTCAATAGACGAAAGAGTAATCCTCTCAACATTCAAAAGTTGGCATCCCTATAATGTCTATTGCTAGCTAATAATGTGGATAAGAATTTGTTCAGAATATGTATTGATATGAGCTTGTAAAGAAAATTCAACCCAAGTAGATTTCCTAGTTTGAGTAGGTCTCCTACAAGGGATTTCCCATTTTGAATACTAATATGTGTGTGTATATATTAAAGGACTTGGCTAGTATAACGGCATCGTTACAAGAAATTTGTAACACTGCAAGAAAGACCAATAGGTCCAACATAAAATCAAAGCTCTAGATCAATAGGCCCAATATAACATTAACATCGTTGCACTTGGTTATGAGAAGTATAACTTGTCCTATTCACCTAATCTAGATTTATTTATTCGTTACTTTAATGCTAGTTCTATTCTTTGAAAAATTGCTATCGTGACAGTATATCGAAAAAGCAACTTAAAAGAAAAACATCTTTATTGCTTATTGTATCCTCAAGACTTCTCTGTTGTTTAAGAGGAGAGATTGACTGAATCATGTAAAATACAATTTAAGATAGGCCAACAATCTCTCCCCTAGTTCCGCTAAAATTGACTACTCCTCACCAACATTTCCTTCACGAGGATCACAATGTTTATCATCAGTTTGGCTGACGACAGCGGCACCAATAGCTCTTGCGCAAGGAGTTGGAGTTGAAGCTTCTAATGCCAAAAACTCCATCCTTCTCTTGTCCACCTTTTCCTTGAGATCTGCGAGCGCCTTCTTTAATACCATTAGCTGGTCGAAACTAAGATTTTCAATTTCCAGAGGCTTAACATGTTGAAGCTCTTTTGCCCGTTTCTTTTCAGCTTTCAGTCGCTCGAGCACATCTGCATATCGTCTGTTCAGTTCAACTAAGGTTTGGTCTCCATTAGTTTGAGCCTGTCGAGTGACAGTAGGACAAGCCGTCTGTGAATGCTCAAACCTGTCTAGGACTGCACCCACAGACGGGTGTCCAAAGGAGAAAGGCTTGCCGCTGGGAGAGAAGAGAATAATGGCCATCTCGGCAGCACAAAGAGTGCATAGTTCAGTTGCTTTCTTGAACAGCCCTGATCGCCGTTTCGAGAAGGCAACTCGTCCCGCAGCGGCAGCCTCAATCATCGTCTTCGCTCCAGTTGTTTTGCCCTTCATGTCTCACGCTGCAAAAATCAATGTAAATTCAAATGACATTGAGAGAATAATGAAAAGAGGTCACCATTTATAGGATTTTACAGGCCAAAGCAATGCTTATAATAATGCAGCACTCCCTCTTTGATTGGTAATTCTGAATTGGCTTTCCATGTATTAGCATGCCTTTTAAGAGGTTTAATGATAAGTATGTCGTTTTCCGTCCAATTGACGAAGGTGTAATCCTCTCAACATGGCTAAGTTGGCATCCCTTTAATGTCTATTGCTAGTTAATACCACAGATAAGAATCCATAACGGACTTAATCAACGAGTCCATTCAGCATGAAAGGAAATTATTCTCGTTCATGGGAAAAATTAAAATTTTCTGTGCTCAATTGCACGAATGGCTTAAGCTTTGGAACAATCATATATTTCCCACATATCTAGAGAAAATTTATTAGTAAAAAGTTTTTATTATTTACTTCAATTGTACGTTCTTCATCCATAAAACCATCAAATTAATTTATGAAGGAGTAAGTAACTGTGGCGATCCTCCCAAAGCGGTCAGGGAAGCGGGTTTGGAGGCATTGCCAAAGGTAGACCAACGGTCTCTAATTGGCATGACTTCTCACAAACAATTATCTCGTGTGACGTTGTGATTTTTATTTTAGTTGAATTTATCCTATGAGGATTCCATGTGAGAAGGAGTTGCCACTAGCCTATTGAGGTCGGCTACAAATCAAGTGAAGGATGGGAGGATACTTCACTTCCTACGCAGCCAGAGATTTAAGAACGGGAACTTGATTATACTAGTTATTCAACTAATGCCATTTCGGTATATAAACTTGATTATTGCCAAATTATGAATGCTAAGGTTCTCATCTTCTTAGTATCCATGAAATGTTTTTGGTGTTTATTATGATTCTAAAATGAAACCTAACCATTTACTAGAACAAGCAAATCACAACTCAGAAGTGATATAAAAAAATCACAATCAGTTCGTCAAAGAATGGGAATAAAAGAACGAGTTAAAAAATAAAATGTTGTAAAGTAACCCAATATGAGTTGGGCAAAAAGATAAGAATTAATATCACGAAAAATTTCAAATTAATACATTTATGACAAATTTACCCTAAATTAATTTTTTTACAACCAAAAACCCCCAAACTGGTACATTTATAACAAATTTACTTCAAACTAATTTTTTTACCATCAAAAACCCCCAACTGGTACATTTATGACAAATTTACCCTCTGTTACTTTCTCTTAAATTAAATTAATATCACGAAAAATCATAAACCGGTACACCTGTAACAAACGGAGAGTAAAACCCCAAATTGGTATATTCGTAAATTGTTACGTGTCATCCAACTTAGTAATTTGATTGTAAAATTTAACGAAAACTAACGAAGGATAAATCTATCGCAGGTGTACCAGTTTGATGCTTTTGGTGTCAAAAAATTAATTTAAGGTAAATTTATCACAGGTATATCAGTTTGAGGTTTTTCATGGTATTAACCCCAAAAAAAAAAATGGCCTTGTAATCGAATTTCAATTCATTTGCCAAAGTGACTAATGTGCCTAAACCAAACCAGAAATTATTATTACATTCCCTAAACTATTTGAATACTAGTTAAATGAAACTAAACCAAATTTAATATTAAGATCTAACAAGCTTGTCAACGCCTATTTTTCTAACCATTTTAGATTTTATTATATTTTTGATTTTTTGGAAAATGGAAAATGAATAATTTGTAAAATGTTTTCCAACTAGAAACCCATCTTCTTTAGGAAAATGTTTTTCTAATCATTCATTTCTC